TTTTTATTTCACATTCAAATTGTCTATTTGCTCCATAAATGAGACATTTTAACAATATTTGACAAAAAATATTTCCGATTGGTCATAAACAATGCCCAGGTAACTGAACAAGTGCGTTAAACAAAGTTGATTGAAGACGAAAAGACCTTAAAAGAATACCAAGTTTTGGTTTGAGTAAATCTGTGCAACCCGGATTGAATCTAATAGGCCTCACATAAGCTATCACTCTTCATTACTAGCATTTACATTGACAAATTGTTTGTGGTCCAAGATGACATTCTAATGCTTATTTTCTAACTGAATATTTTGAATTACTAGTAAAAGCAATACCATAAACGAAGCTCCATACTGAGATAAACAGAGTTTGCAGCCTATCCTAGTAAAAACTATACAGCCTTGGGAATGCTCATTACTGAAATGTCTAGCCCTTATTTTTTAAAAAGAGCAACTTAGTATAAAAGTGTAATATTTGGCGTGCAGTAAACTATCAGAGGTTGATACACACAATTACTACATAATTTGAGACAAAACAGATAGCAATAGATGGAACTGCGAAACTTACCTGATAGTTGTGATAGGCCGTGATTGAGTCAGGTTTCCACACTCTCTGGCTAGCAGTAGCTCTGCTTGCGCACATCGCTGTGAAGCAAATTGACATGCCTGTATCTCCTTGGCCGCAGCCTCATTGGTAGGATCATCCACTAAAGATGGAGGTTTCGTCTGGTCGGGACACGTAAAGAGAAGATCATGGTCCGATATGCCACAAACAAACTCCGAAAACTCATCCTCGGGGTCTGTCAGTCGATGTAGATGTTGATCTAACTGTTCATCAGATTGGCGCCTGCTGGTTTCGTGCAGTTGGTTGAGTTGGAGGAGAGTCTGTGAAGCCAGTGGATCATCAAGCTTGAAAAGGTCGCGTAACTCCTGACGAGTAAAGTAGCGATAGGGATCAGCCAATCGACGTGAAGTGGGTGAGTTTGTCGAATTAGGCCCGTGGGTAAACTGAGGCTTTACCTCAGTTGCCTGTTTGATTATAGCAGTCTTAAAGACTTGGCGGCGATAAATCTTCTCTTCAACACTGGAACACGTGATGAGACGATATACAACAATATTAGAATGTTGACCTATACGATAGACCCTATCTACGGCCTGTGCGTCAGTTGCGGGATTCCAACTCGGATCGAGTACCACAACCCGGTTGGCGGCCGTTATAGTTAGCCCAACACCACCACACTGAATCAGAGAACAATGCATAAGTTAACAAAAGAACAAAATAAAATTGTGTGATAAATAAATGAAACGTCTGCAAACAAAAGGTCTGTATAATTATCTGCTTCAAATAGTAAATATGTCTATGCCAAAAGCATGTGGAAGTAATGGAGTCATTTATATGGCTTCCCTTTGTATACTGATT